AAAAAAAAAAAAAAAAAAAAAAAAAAAAAAAAAGAGAGAGAGAGACACTTAATATTCAGGGAGTAAAACAGATAAGACACAGAGAGGAAAAAATATTTGTAATATATATATCCGATAAAGAATATGTATGCAGAATCTATGAAAAACTCTTACAAATCAATAAGAAAAAGGCAGACAACTCAATAATCAGAGGACAACTTTAACAGGCATTCACAAAGGAGTATATCCAAATGCCGATAAACATATAAAAAGGAATTCAGTTTCATCATCATCAGAAGAATGCAAATTAAAACCATAATGAGAAACCACTATGTCCCACTAGAATACATAAAATTTTAAAAGACTGGTAAAACCAAGTGTTGGTGAGGATGTGGAGCAAATATCACTTTCAAATGTTATTATAGAAGCATGAATTGATTAAATCATTATGGAAAAGAGCTTGGTAGACTCTAATCTGAATACATATATATCCAGATATACCAGATAGGCATAAGATGGACATCAGTAGTTTTCCTACATACTCACCATAGCCTGTTTAAAAATGTAAAAAGTTTACTACAGTATGAAAAATGTACAACATATAAGCTTAATTTAAAAATGTATAAGACTAGCTGGGTGTGGTGGCATGTACCTGTGGTCCCACCTACTTGGGATGCTGAGGCAGGTTTGTTTGAGCCCAGGTGGTCAAGGCTGCAGCCCTGATTGTGCCATCTCACTCCAGCCTGGGTGACAGAGAACTTTTTTGAGACGGAATCTTGCTCTGTCACCCAGGTTGGAGTGCAATGGCTCAATTTCAGCTTACTGCAACCTCTGCCTCTGGGTTCAAGTGATTCTTCTGCCTCAGCCTCAGGTGTACACCACCATGCCTGGCTAATTTTTGTATTTTTAGTAGAGATGGGATTTCACCATGTTGGCCAGGCTAGTCTTGGACTCCTGACCTCAGGTGATCCACATGTCTCAGCTAGGATTACAGGCGTGAACCACTGTGCCTAGCCAAAAATGAGAACGAAAAAAAATTTTTTTAAAGTTTATAATGAGAGAACTATGAAGCTTTTATCAAGAACATAAAATAACATTTGAATAAACAAGGACAAACTGTATTCCTAGTTGGGGTATTCAATATTACAAAGATGTTAGTGCTTCCCAAATAAATCTATAAATACAATGTCTTCATGAAAATTCTAATGTGGTTTTTGGTAACTGACAATCTGATTTTATTTCATCTTTTTAAGAAAGACCTAAGAATAAGTGGAAACATTTTGAAAAGTAATAATGAAAAGAGATTTAAGCTATCAAATGAAATGGGATTTAAGATGTCAAAATGGAATATTAAGCTATAAATAATTATTACAACTGTTGTACTAGCATGGAAATGGACAAAAAGATCAATGGAGGAGGGAAGCACAGATATGAATAAACACAGGATTGTCTTAGAGGCTTCTGGAACTCAACTCTGACTAAACTGAAAGCATCACTTTCCCTCTTTACAAATGCTAATCACTCTCCAAAATTCACTGTATCTCAGCAAGGGGTACAACATCTACACAACTGCAAGCCAGAAACTTGCGAATCATCCTCATGCTTCTCCTTCAAACCCAACATCCAATTCATCAGCAAATCCAAAAACCCTCAAACCCACTTGGCCAGTTCTATAGATTTTACCACCTAAAAATATCCCTCATGATTCATACCCACTTTTAGCATCCCAGTTCAAGTTACCATCAATGTTTTCCTGGGTCATTGCATTAGCATCTAATTAGGTTTCCCACACTCACTTTTACCTTCCTCCAATTTGTTCTCCAAATTAGACAGTATGATCTTTTAAAATCACAATTATAATGATGTAAATACCACTTAAAATTCTTTAACGCCTTCTCACGTTCTTAAGACAAAATACAAAATCTTTAATTTGACCTATCATAATAGCTCATTAATGGGTAAACAGACTCTAGACACCTTCCACTGTATTAGAATATATCCTTTAACATAAAAGTAATACGGGAAAAAAGTCAGTTATTTTTAATATGCCTTATTAATAAAGTAACTATAAAATGCTCTTAAACCTATACAGTTTCACCCCAGGTTCAAGGATCTTCGAGTGTACTGGTTTTCTTCTATTAGCCATAGAGGTAATGCTCTGCCCTGTTACTCCAGGTTTTCTCAATTGCTTGTCCCTCTGCATGGACCTTCCTTCCCTCATGCCCTTGCATAAAGGCCCTGAACTGTGGACAAAGCTCAGGTCTTTTGTTATTCTCTCTCAAACCAAGCAAATTTTCATTGTGATTTTAATTAACTCTTTATGTGAGTCTTTCCCACTATGGTAAGTCTGATGAGGGCAAGGATCACACTTGTTTTTGTTTACCATTACATTCTCAAAGTCCAGAACTGTGCCCAATAAATAGGTGTTTCTTAAATTTGTTGAACAAATTACATATGAATTTTAATTATGTATAGCACTAAAACATAATGATGCCTTCATGAGCAACTCACGAAGCTCAGTAAAATTCAATCTTCATGATTCAATTGCCTTAGCTACATCTCCCCTTTTGGGAAGGAGCTGGGAGGAGGACTTCTCAAACTGTGAGACAGTGTACAATATGCTGTCTAATTCTAATGCCAAGGATAATCTGTAAAATCAATTGGCTTAATGTGAACTAATCAGTTCAAAATTTGAGGGAAGTGCTATGAGAAATTACAGATTGTTTCTCCCTCCTTTACTTGAAGAGAAAGTATAAATTAAGTTTAAATGACTGCCCCCCCCCAGATTACCTTGATATTCAAGGTTGTATTCTAGTATAAAAATAGTTGAAGGTATCTGAAGTATGATTACTCATTAATAAAATACTATTCTATTCAGGAATATACAGACTTTAGTTCTCTATTATTTTAAGGCTTTACTTCCATTAATGGAAAACAAGAAAGTTCTTCTAGTCTTTCAGTACTTACAAGTGAAGGAACTGTGAATATCTGAACCGAGAGGTCTGCGACTGAAAACTCTCTGTCGTGGTCATCTGTCACATAATCACTCTGCAAACGCTCATAGTTCTATTAAGAAGGCAAAAAAAGGCAAGGAGTGCCAGCTATCAGTTACAAAGAAAAGGCAAGCACTACTCACCAGAGTAGGTGCGGTGAAGAACTGGACAGACAGAGCAGTCACCGACACTGCTCGTTCGTGATCATCCTCCATAAAATCTCTCTGCAACTGCTGGTAATTCTAAACAACAAGGGGGAGATTCACCTCTAATCCACATTGACCAAATATTTACGAATTATAATGAAAAGTCAGTGCTGGAGGAAGTCAAGAAGATAATACTGCTATGAGAACAATAACTGGAATGATTTCTACCAATAGACTCCTGTACAGACATTGATTCACTATGTAATCTGTGGAATTCTGTATAATATTGATTCTTTCTTCTGGGGCACAGTGGCAGTTTACCAGCCCAAATGGGAAGTAACAACTACTAAGCTCCCAGGATGCCTCTGTATGCTGGTGGAGCTAAACCACAGCAGCATTACACTGTTTCTGATGAAACCAGACTTTCATTAGTTCTGGATCATATCAGAATTATCTAATGACTCTTGGTGAATCTGCTTCAGTAGATTTGAGAATGAAACACAACACATGTATTTTGAAAGAGCTCTCCAAGTGATTCTGATACACTTCCTAATTCAGGTGAATGCAAAAAAGTAAGTGGTTAGCTTAGCACATGCTGCTAAAAGGGAGCACTTAATTCAACTATATCAATAACCAAGAGTTTTGAAGAGACTTGTTTCTTCCAAAAAAAAAACAGCAAAATACATGTTTTCCTCAGCACAAAATATCTGCAATCTAATTATTTATAAAATCAAAGTTTTCTAAATATGATTTTCTAACCAATATAAAGGGTATTTAATTTGGATCATGCCCACCTTGCCCCCCCCAAAAAAAATCTATATTTTTCAAAGACTAAGACTGCAATGCTAATTTTAAAATGCACAAATATATTTATTAAATCATATCCATATATATGTTATTTAAACAGATTAATTTCCTTATGTGAATTTTAATAGAAAAAAATACCATAATTCACAATGGCATAGGTTTAAACTCTTCATTTATTATTTCATAAACACTGCATAGATGGATATTCATCATAGGAGGTGATGAACAAGAAGTCTCATTGCTATAATTTTATTCTATTTATAAAGAATGAAAAGATTATTTATGAAGTTTCATAAAATTTAATATTAATACACTTATATATTACTATTAGATGTTAATTTTTTGCAGCCTAGATATAATTATGGGCATAGTTACTCTACTTATAACCTGTTTTCAAAATTGAAAAACCACTTACTTTTGCAAATCGAACAGCAAACAGCTTCTTGTATTTCAAATCCATAAGCAGGCTGCTGATGAACAACTGATGATACACACTCCTAGCACCTTGTAGAAAAAGATCACAGTATAAGATAAGGACACACCAAACAGTTCTATTTCTCAAGTTTTATGTGATCCACCATTTTTTTTTTTTTTTCCTGAGACAGTATCTTGCTGTGTTGCCCAGGCTGGTTTTGAATTCCTGGGCTCAAGTGATCCTCCTGCCTCAGCCTCCCAAAGTGCTGGGATTACATGTGTGAACCACCATGCTTAGCCAACACAGTATTTTTTTTTTTTTTAAGAGATAGGGTCTTGTTTTGTTGCCCAGGCTGAACCCAAACTCTTAGCTCAAGTGATCCTCTTGCCTCAGCCTCCTGTGTAGCTGGGACTACAGGCACACACCACTGAGACTGACTTGTATTTTAAGGCTCAAATACAAAACTAAGCCAGACATGGTGGTATACACGTGTATTCTCAGATACTAGGGAGGCTGAGAAGAGGGGATTGTTTGAGCCCAGGAATTCAAGGTTGCAGTGACCAATGATTATGGCACTGCACTCCAGTCTGGACAACAGTGTGACATCCTGTCCCTCCAAAAAAAGAGCAAAATACATGCTTTCCTTAGCACAAAATATTTGCCATCTGCTTATTTATAAAATCAAGTTTTCTAAACATAATTTTCTAACAAAATGTAAAGGCCACTTAAGTTGGATCATGGACCTTCCCACCCCCCCCAATCTATATTTTTCAAAGACTAAGACTACAATGCTAATTTTAAAAAGCACAAATATATTTATTAAGTATTTTTCCAAATGATAAAAATCTTTCACATCCCAATTACTTATATAGGTTCCTCTACACCTTAAAAGTAGTTAAGAGATTCACCTTTCCATAATTTGGAATCACTAAGCATCAGTCTGTCCACTAAAGAAGAGTTTTCACCATCTGGCCCTTCTTGTAAACCAACTTGACATAAAATCCGGCGAAGGCCATCTTTAAATAGAAGGAAAAGTAGTCATGAGATAGCAACTTCAAATATTAAAATAAAGTGACATTTTAGTAGATGTTCAAATAGATCCATAGTGTTTTAAATGTTTTACTAAAGGTCAAATTTATTCAGAAAAAGCAAACATATTATTTTATTAATATTTTAACAAAATGGATATAAATTTCAAATCTCACATTACATGCTACTACTCCTGAAAGTTAAAATGTATATCTGTCATAAAGGCAATAACCTCTTGTGCTTTAATCAATTTAATTAAAGAGAAAAAAATCACTTAATATTATTCTTCAAGCACTTATGCTAATCAAACCAGATTACAATAAAAGTGTTATACATTCCATAACTGAAGATAAATATAAAATGTGCTACAGTTTAAAGAGAGAAATGCATGACTTCTGTACTATAATATATACCAGTACATTTTATTAATGCTACATAAAACGTTCTTCATTCATTAAACCAAAACTTATTGTGGACCTGCCATGTGAGAGATCCTGGAAGACATATTACTACAACCTTTTAAAAGCAAACTTTAGAAAAGTTCTTCAAATATTAATATAAGCATTAAAATAACCAAAGCTTTAACACTTATTTGTTCCATACATATATATACATATGAAACAAATATGTGTGTGTGTATGTGTATCTCTCTCTCTCTATATATATATTTTGTTGTTGTTTTGTTTTGTTTCTGTTTTGAGACAGAGTCTCACTCTGTCACCCAGGCTGCAGTTCAGTGATGTGATTTTGGCTCACTGCAGCCTCTGTCTCCTGAGTTCAAGTAATTCCTGTGCCTCAGCCTCCCAAGTAGCTGGGATTACAGGTGTGTGCCACCACGCCTGGCTAATTTTTGTGTTTTTAGTAGAGACGGGGTTTCACACCATGTTGGACAGGCTGGTCTCGAACTCCTGAGCTCAAGTGATCCACTTGCCTTGGCCTCTCAAAGTGCTGGGATTACAGGCATAAGCCACTGTGCCTGGCCCCATACTTTAAAATCATTGTTTTATCGTTTTCAAGCATGCAAAATAAAAAAAAAAAGAAGTAATTTTTAATTATAAAAGCTGTCAAACAGAAATCCTTTAAAAGGCGAAAGAGAAGACCTATGTAAGTATTAAATAGGAATATGTAAATTATTGATGATAAGTATCTCAAAGAAAATTTTCAGCAGGACATGACTTCCATTATACTATTCATTAATAGTGTAGCACAACACTTGCTATATAGGTATCCAATGGAAAACACCAAAATAAAGAATACAGGGCTAAGAAAAATAACTGGAAAGACGTTTATTTATTTATTTCCTTTTAAAAAATTTGTACATAGAGATGGGTCTCCCTGTGTTACCCAGGCTGTTCTATGAACTCCTGGGTTTGAGGGATCCTTCCACCTTGGCCTGCCGGAGTGTTATGACTACAGGAGTGGGCCACCATGCCTGGCCTGGAAAGATAATTTAAAAGTCAAGTAAATGTGTTCTCTTAAACTTCCACACCTCTGTATTTTCAACTCTCAGTTCAGGGTAGTAACGCTCTTTTCTAAACGCCCTTCAATGCAAATGTATTCAAATTTTTCTTTCATCCGAATGTCACTTATCCACAGTCTTACCTGAAGAACAGCATGATAGCTTATATCTATCCCTGTTTTAATCTTTAGTGTTACACACCAGGCTTGCATTTTTGGCTGCGGATATGAGGATTCCTAATTTTTACCATTATGTAAAGAAAAATGATCAAATTTCTACACTCTGGAATTTTTCTTTCCTTTTTTTTTTTTTTTTTTGAGATGGAGTTTTGCTCTTTTGCCCAGATTGGAGTGTAGTGGCATGATGTTGGCTCACTGCAATCTCTGCTTCCAGGGTTCAAGTGATTCTCCTCCCTCAGCCTCCTGAGTAGCTGAGATTACAGGCACACGCCACCACGCCCAGCTAATTGTTGTATTTTTAGTAGAGATGGGGTTTCGCCATGTTGGCCAGGCTGGTCTTGAACTCCTGACCTCAGGTGATCCACTTGCTTGGGCCTCCCAAAGTGCTGGGATTACAGGTGTGAGCCACTGCACCCGGCCGAAATTTTTTTTTAAAAAACAAATTGGTAACTTCCAATGAGCAAATTTTTAGAGTTACAAATTATTGGTAACCAAAAGTGGTAAGAGGAGTCAAAACAAAGAAATTAACATTACTGTTTTATCATTTAAACTGTTAATCACTTAGGTTTTATTTACAATAGCATTTTTCCAGCTTACTCAGAAGAGTTCCACAAAATGCTCCACTAAAAGAAATTTTTAAAAAATTGTTTATGAAATGTACATTGCATTGCATTAGCATATTAATGTCCTTTACAATTGTTTAAACCAATGTTTCTTGCATTTATTTGAACAGAGAATCCTTTGTGTGCATATAAAAATATCCAGTATGACAAAATTGGTTAAACATAGGTTGTCTTCTATGCATAAAGTTGGTATTTTAAAATGTAAAATTAAAGCAGGAAATTATTCTATTTGATATGTTTCCCAAAATAGTTTTGCAAAGGCATACTGAGCTCATTTTTAATAGACGATTAGCATAAACTTTCTTGAACCTACCTGAATATCCAATAATACTTCCCAGCCAAGACAAAAGTTTCAAACCAAAATTCTGATGTGCGACGATAGACGAATGCATAACTTGAACTTTGAGTGGCTTCGTCTGTCTACTGGTATTTCTCTTAAAAAGAAATGGTAAGATTAAAAAATTTACTTAAAAAGCTATTCTATTGGTAGAAAGAGGTTAATTATTTTTACTTAAGATAACCATACCATCATTAACACAGGAGAATTTTTCACACATGTAAGAAAAACACCATTTTGTTTGCTTTACTTGATTCAGATCCTAATTTTCTAGAGGAAATCTTAGGATTCATGCAAAAAAAACAAGAAGGTCCCGCTAGTTTATGAGTGATTTGAATCTTTTTTTTTTTTTGAGGTGGAGTCTCACTCTGCCACCCAAGCTGGAGGGCAGTGGCGCAATGTCGGCTCACTGCAACCTCTGCCTCCTGGGTTCAAGTGATTCTTACAGGCACACACCATGATGCCTGACTAATCGTTGTATTTTTAGTACAGACAGGGTTTCGCCGTGTTGGCCAGGCTGGTCTCGAACCCCTCACCTCCAGTGACCTGCCTGCCTCAGTTTCCCAAAGTGCTGGGATTACAGGTGTGAGCCACTGCGCCTGGCTAGTAATCTGAACCTTTAGTACTATATTTGAAAATCTGCTGTACCAATAATAAATGATTTAAATGTTTTAGCTTGCTTTATGTCTTTCATTTCTTAATACAATTATGTACTTATTTAAATAATTTACTGCACGGATGTGATCATGTTATCAAATTTAAAAAAAAAAATGGCCGGGTGCGGTGGCTCACGCCTGTAATCCCAGCACTTTGGGAGGCCGAGGCGGGTGGATCACGAGGTCAAGGGATCGAGACCATCCTGGTCAACATGGTGAAACCCCGTCTCTACTAAAAAAATACAAAAAATTAGCTGGGCATGGTGGCACGTGCTTGTAATCCCAGCTACTCAGGAGGCTGAGGCAGGCGAATTGCCTGAACCCAGGAGGCGGAGGGTGCGGTGAGCCGAGATCGCACCACCCCCCCCCCGGGTGAAAAAGAGGAAAACTCCGTCTCAAAAAAAAAAAAAAAAAAAAAAAACATGGTAAAATACATATAAAACTTTCACCTTAGCCAACTGTGCACCTTTTTACGTGCACAGTTCAGTACTGTTAAGTACATTCACACTGTTGTGAAACTAGTCTCCAGAACTCTTTATGTTGCAGAAATGAAACTCTACATAAAACTTATTAAACAGCAAGTCCCTGATACTTTCTTCCCCTAGCATCTGGCAACCACCATTCTGTATCTTTCTGTCTCTATGGAGATGACAATGCTAGGTGGCTCATATGAGTAGGATTTATCTTTTTGTTACCAGCTTATTTTACTTAGCATAATGTTCTCAAGATCCATCCATGTTGCAGCATGTATCAGAACTTCCTACATTTTCAAGAACGAGTAATACACCACTGCATGTATATACCACATTTTGCTTCTCCATTAGACACTTGGGTTGCTGCTGCCTTTTGGCTATTGTGAATAACGGTGCTTGAACAGGGGTGTAAAATATCTCTTTGAAACCTGTTTTCAATTATTTTGCATGTATATCCCGAAGCAAAATTGCTGGATCGTATGGTAATTCTATTTTTAACGTTTTGAGAAATTGCCAGGCTGTTTTCCATAGTGGCTATACCATTTTACCTTCCCACCAGTGGTGCACAAAGGTTTTAATTTCTCCATATAAGGATATAGAGAAATAAAATATTTTTATATAAATAAAAAAAGCCAACACTTTTTTTTCTCTTAGAGACAGAGTCTTGCTATGTGGCCCAGGATGGAGTGCAGAGGCTATTCACAGGTACCATCATTACATACTACATCCTGGAACTCCTAGGTTCAAGCAATCCTCCTGCCTCAGCCTCCAGAGTAGCTGAGCCTATAGGTGCATGCCTATCCATTTTTTTTTTTTTTTTTTGACAGAAGCCATCCTAACAGGTGTGAGGTGGTATCTTATCAGCTGCTTGCATATCTGCTCTGGAGAAATGTCTATTCAAGTCTATCAACACCTTTTTTTTTTTATTTAAACAGGGTTTCACTCTGTTGCCCAGGCTGAAGTGCAACGGTGTGATAACAACTCACTGCAGCCTCGACCTTCCGGGCTTAAGCAATCCTCTTACCTTAGCCTCCAAAACAGCTGAGACTTCAGGTGTGCATCACCATGCCTGGCTAATTTTTGTTATTATTATTATTTTCTGTAGAAATGGTGTTTTGTCATGTTGCCTAGGCTGGTGTCTCAAACTCCTGGGCTCAAGTGATCTGCCTGTCTTGGCCTCTCGAAGTGCTGGTATTACAGGGGTGAGCTGATGTGCCTTGCCAACACTTTTTAAATAATGTGTTGGCCGGGCACGGTGGCTCATGCCTGTAATCCCAGCACTTTGGGAGGCTGAGGTGGTGGATTATGAGGTCAAGATATTGAGACCATCCTGGCCAACATGGTGAAACCCCATCTCTACTAAAAAATGCAAAAATTAGCTGGGCGTGGTGGTGTGTGCCTGTAGTCCCAGCTACTCAGGAGGCTGAGGCAGGAGAATTGCTTGAACCTGGGAGGTCAAGGCTTCAGTGAGCTGAGATCGTACCACTGCACTCCAGTCTGGGCGACAAAGCAAGACTCTGTCTTAAAAAAAAAAAAAAAAAAAAAAAAAAATCAAGGAAAATGCAAATTTAACTGATAAAACACCATTTCACACACTTCAGACTGGCAAGCGTTTTTTTTTTCCCCTTAAGACAAGATCTTGTTCTGTCACCCAGGCTAGACTGCACTTATGTAACCAAAGCTCACTGAACCCTTGGACTCCTGGGCTCAGGCAATCCTTCTACCTCAGCCTCTTGAGTAGCTAGGACTACACATGTACACCATCATGCCTGGCTAATTTTTTAAATTTTAATTTTTTTGGTAGAGTCAGGGTCTGGCTCTGTTGCCCAGGCTGGTCCCAAACTCCTGGCCTCAATCGATCCTCTTGTCTCGGCTTCCCAAAGTGCTAGATTTACAGGTGTGAGCCACAATGTCTGGCCCAGATTGATAAAATTAAAAAATAATGTGGCACATATACACCATGGAATATTATGCAGCCATCAAAAACGATGAGTTTGAGTCCTTTGTAGGGACATGGATGAACCTGGAAACCGTCATTCTCAGCAAACTGACAGAAGAGCAGAAGATCAACACCACATGTTCTCACTTATAGGCGGGTGTTGAACAATGAGAACACATGGACACAGGGAGGGGAGCACTACACACTGGGGTCAGCTGGGGGGAAATAGGGGAGGGACGGTGGGGGGTGGGAAGCTGGGGAGAGATAGCAAGGGGAGAAATGCCAGATGTAGGTGATGGGGAGGAAGGCAGCAAATCACACTGCCACGTGGGTTCCTATGCAACAATTTTGCATGTTCTTCACATGTACCCCAAAACCTAAAATGCAATAAAATAAATAAATGGGAAAAAAAAATTTTTGACAATATATAGTTTTAACAAGGATATGGAGAAATGGGTCCTCTCATATACTGCTGGTGGGAAAGTATATTGGTACCACAGTTTTGGAGACAAACTAGGCAAAATCTAGTAAAGCTGAGAATGTCCATACCCTAAGTACTCAGAATTCCATTTCTTGGTATATACCCTAGGGAAATTTTGCACCTATACAAAAAGAAGACAAATAATGCTCATAGCAGGAGTATTTGTCACAACAAAAAAACTGAAAACATCCTAATTGTCTATCAACAGGAGAATAAATAACTTGTGGTTTAATCATCATGAAATACTATACAATGTTTAAAAAGTGAATGAACTACAGCAATGTGTATCAACACAGATAAAGTTAAAAATCACACTGAAATGAAAAGGCAAGCTGCAGTGTAATTCATTCAATATGTATCTTGTTATACAGTATTTAAAGGTTCTCAAATCAATCTATATAATGTTGATGGATGTTTAATATATGAAATATAAAGGAATGCACAAGAATGAAAAAAGTAAATTAAGCAAAGTAATTATCGCTAGGGAAGGAGAAAGAGTAATGGGGTGAAAAAAAGATAATGCAGGCCAGGTTTGGTGGTTCATGCCTACAATCCCAGTACTTTTGGAGGCCCAGGCAGGCAGATCACTCGATGCAAGGAGCTTGAGACTAGCCTGGTCAACATGGTGAAACCCCCTTTCTACTAGAAATACAAAAAACCAATTAGCCGGTCACACATACCTGTAATCCCAGCTACTCGGGAAGCTGAGGCACAAGAAGTGCTTCAACTTGGGAGGCGGAGGTTGTAGTGAGCAAAGATCGTGCCACTAAACTCCAGCATAGGTGACAACAGGGTAATACTGACTTAAAAAAAAAAAAAAAAAGATAATACAGGGGCCTCCATACTATTTTATATATTTAAAAATTTAAAAGAAGCTTGAGGCTGAGTGTGGTGGCTCACACCTGTAATCCCAGCACTTGAGGAGGCTGAGGCAGGTGGATCACTTGAGCCCAGAAGTTTGAGATCAGCCTGGAGGACACAGTGAAACCCATCTCTAATAGAAATACAAAAATTAGCTGAGCATGGCTGCATGTGCCTACAATCTCAGCTACTTAGAAGGCCGAGGCAGGAGAATCACTTGAACCTAGGAGGTAGAGCCGAGGTTGCACCACTGCACTCCAGCCTGGGCTAGAGACTCCTTCTCAAAAAAAAAAAGAAAAAAAAATTATGATACATAAAAAATTATTTTTTAAAAAGAATATTTACATAAAATTCAGTTACATGGAGTGGTGAAAATAAATTCTAATTTCTAAAAATAAATCCAAATGTGGAGAATTGTTTGCTTTTAGAAAGATACACTAATTGCCATGAAGATATGGAATACATTTTGCCATAAGGTACCAAGTAATAACTTTCCTTGCATTGTAATCGTGGTGTTTAAGGTCATTTTAATTTCTACTAATTAAAAACAAAACAAAAAGCAAAAAACATTCTAAGACTGCTTTGATGGAGAAATGGAATATATCTTATCTACATACTCATTTTCTATATCAATCTTAGACAGCTTTAAAAAACTAGATAATAATGCAATATTCAAGAAACATCTTTAAACATAATTTTTGGTTAACATTGATTTCATTCACATAAGCAGAAAGACAAGTTCATAAATGCTGAAATATGAAGCTAGTTTTAAACTAATAAAAAATAAAAATAATACAGGCATGCTTTAAAATTACTTACCACAATTACTGATTTTGCTTGCTCACAATACTGGAAGTCTCCATATCGAACAGACCTACGCCCCTGTAAATAAAGATATTTAAAATTAAGCTGTAAAAGTATTGTATTCAATATTAATAACTTTCAAACCAGTAAACGAACATGTTTAAGCACATAACAGGCTGGGTGCAGTGGCTCACGTCTGTAATTCCAGCACTTTGGGAGGCGGAGATGGGTGGATTACGAGGTCAGGAGTTCAAGACCAGCCTGGCCAAGATGGTGAAACCCCATCTCTCTATTTTTTTTTTAATTAAAAAAAAAAAGCACATAACAACTCGGATCAATTTTCAATATTTACAACGTTCATCCTACTCATTGATAAGTTAAATTTTCTCTTCAAAGCTATGCTAACTTTTCTAAGCCATTAATAAATATATTTCCTTGAACAACACATTTATTCTAGGCATCTATAATTTCCATTTTCATAACTATATGTCCTCTTAAACTTTCTATCTGGCAATAGTTTATAACCAATATACATTTAGGCCAATATTCAAATGAAATTTTTTTTTTTGAGACAGAGTCTTGCTCTGTCACCTAGGCTAGAGTGCAATGGCGCAATTTTGGATCACTGCAACCTCCGCATCCTAGGTTCAAGCGATTCTCCTGCCTCAGTCTCCTGAGTGGCTGGGATTACAGGTGTGCGCGACCATGCCTGGCTAATTTTTGTATTTTTAGTAGAGACGAGGTTTCACCATGTTTGTCAGGCTGGTCTTGAACTCCTGACCTTGTGATCTGCCCGCCTCAGCCTCCCAAAGTGCTGGGATTATAGGTGGGACAAATGAAATTTTAAGAAAAGCTTAGATATATATATACATTTTTAACTCAATTTTCCAGGGTAACTTACCTGTAGTAAAAATAGAATTTATTATCAACATGGTAAAATTACTTACATCTCGATCTACTGTAGTTGCAAAACCAATTGCTTCTTTTTGTGTACAGTTAACAGCCTTCTGAAGAGTATAAATAACTTGTTCATAGGTATGAACCTCATCATTAAACAGCATGCAATAGTAGGTGTCACTCTTCTCTCTGTGTGATAAAATATTAATGATATATTCATTATCTATTTGCACGTTATCTTGCTCCAGGCTGACTTATTAAGAGGCTACTTTGTCCTATGTGATGTGCTAGGTACTGGACACATATCTGTAAAGAATTCATCTGTGGTCTCTGTGCTCTATGATACTACAGTCTGGTAGAGAAAATATATATTGCACATATGACTCTGTGTAAACAGGTTTTTATCAAGAAAAGAAGAAGGTAGAGCAGGGTATAACAGGCCTGGGAGCTCAGAGAAGAACTCTTGGAGAAGTAATCTGAGACCTGAAGTCAGAATTGGCTATCAGTAGCTCTTAATCATGGGCAATTCCCCTCCACTTCCCATAGTTGACCATTTGGCAACATCTGCAGACATTTTTGGTTGTCAAGACTGGGGCTTGGGGTGCTGCTGGCATCTAGTGGGTAGAAGCCAGGGATGTTGCTAAATATCTTGCAATTCACCAGACGGCCTCCATAACAAAGAATTAATCTGGCCCTTAATTCCAATAGTGCCAAGGTTGAGAAACCCTGGAGAGAGGAATGTGAAAGCAAAGGTGCTAAAGTGGCAAAGGTAAATACTGGGAGATGGAGCACAAGAAGGAAGGGGGAGATTAGTATACGATCAGTCTGCTCTGGAGAGACGCAGAAGTCTTGAACAACTTATAATTTTTTTTTTTTTTTTTTTGAGACAGGGTCTCACTCTGTCACCCAGGCTGGAGTGCAGTGGCACAATCATGGCTCATGGCAACCTCAACCTCTCAGGTTCAATTGATCCTCCTGCCTCAGACTCATGAACAGCTAGGACTACAGGCTATTTGTGCACCACCCTGCCCAGCAAATTTTTAAATTTTTTATAGTACAGTGTCTTGCTATGTTGCCCAGGCTGGTCTCCAACTCCTGAGCTCAAGTGATCTACCTGCCTTGGCCTCCCAAAGTGCTGGGATCACAGGCATGAGCCATTGTGCTAAGCCAGCTTATAAGGTATTTTGGTTTTTGCTATCCTAAGGGCAATCAAAAATTTCAGATAGGAGATATGACCAAAACTGCCTTAAAGTTGACTTTGACTGCAGTATAGAAAATGAACTGTAAGGGGCAAGAGTGTACATGGTGGTCTAGTTAGGAGGCCATGATGCCCCCAAATGAAATTAATTTGAACTAGGTTACTATACTATACTATAGTATTCTACACGACAACAATGCTACAGTAAAAATCATGAGGTACTAAGTTATTACCATCATTTCCAAAAAGGTATAGTCACCTCATTTCATTAGAAAACACTTAACCTATAACTTTATCTAAAACACAATTGAGAGCAAAAAAGAAATACCACCAATGCCCCTCAGATCCTCATTCCAGCTTGTATTCATTCTAAACTATGACTATAATTCCAACAAGCTTGGTCTTACTTCTAAGAAAGAAAGTTGTTTGAGACAAGCACACTAACAAGGAAAAGAAAGTCCTAATCTTAATATATATGTGGCAGAATCCGGCTCTCTGGTCACAAGTTTGTAACCTCAATAATTTACGTAAAAATGGTATATGTACGCTAAAAAAGCATAGTGTAGAATATATTTTATTAAAAGTTAGAATCAAAATGATTAAAACTGAATTTGAGCATTTATTCAAACCAGAAAACTCATTTATATCAGAGTTCATTCCCTAATGATATTAATATATAATAAAACAAAAACTAGAATTGTAAAGTTAATCTGTCATTTTATCATACAATCAAAGAACAGAAAACTGGTTACACCTGAAACCAGTCCTAGAGCTATGACATAGTTTAAATATGGCTACAAACCAACTAATTAACCAATCGACCAACCAAACAGGGAGAAACCTCCACCAAGTAAGTGGATCACATATGTTTTAAAACTACAAAATCAAGGTTTTTGTTCTGCTAAAAACTCATTATTTAAAAAATGATTATGCCCTATACTAGCTGTGCTAAAGTTAAAATTTAGTAGTTCTTCACACACAAAGAATAAACAGGTAGGTTATACTTACACCATCTCTAAATCTGCTGGCAATTCACTTTCTTTTTCCCAGGTTAATATCTCTACTGCATACCGAAACATAATAGCAAAAATGTTGTAAGTTCTTGCTATCACATCTTCTGATAAATGAACCAGAGGATCCTGAAAGAGAGAACAGGAAAAAAAAAATAAAAGGGGGCAACCATGTTAAATGTACATTAATTCTCATTCTGCATCTAGTTCATATCTCACTGTAACCTCAAATTCCTGGGCTCAAAGTGATTGTCCACCTCAGCCTAAAACTCAATTATTCATAAAATATTGGTAATAGCAGTATCTATCTTATGAGGCTGTTTTGGGAATTAAATGAGATAGACCGAGTAGTCAGTGTTAACATCTAGTTATTAATAATTACTGATCTGAATTCAAATGGATGGGAGCAGCATTTGTGAGAGAAATTTCAGATTACAAAAATTTCACTAAGGTTGTTGTTCAGTTAATATTTCTTATTTAATTAAATTTCATTCCAAACAGGATTACAGCAATTTAAGAATATATCTATATCCCAGCTACTTGGGAGGCTGAGACAATGAATGACTGAATTCAGGAGTTAAGAGATCAGCCTAGGCAACACAGTAACAAAAACCATGTCTCTAAAAATTAAGTAATTTTTCTTTAAAGAATACACCTAAAAAAAAAAAGAATACACCAAAAAGGGTGGAATACAAAAAAAAAAGATGTACAAAGCAGGTAAAGGAAAATAAAGATAGGAAAATAAACCACAGTCAAGGTAACATCTATTTATAAATAGAGATCACATAAATTTCCACACAGCTACTACAGACAGGCTGTTTCCAAACATTTGGCTCTTTTTCCAGAAGTCTCATTAAAAGGAAACACAATCAGTTACCAGATTCACACCAGGAGAAATGTAACATTTCCTAACACAGAGACCTAAGAGAAATCCCTTATGGACTCTTATAAAGACTAGCAAAGGAGATACCACACATTATGTGGTGGTTCTCAATGGCGAGAGGGACATCTCACCACCCTCCCCACTCACTCCCATACCCAAGGAGCCATTTGGAAATCTAGCTGGGCATTTTTTGTTGTCACTGTAGAGGAAGATGCTAGGGACATTTAGGGAGTGGGAACTGCAGGCTAAACACAATGCCTTCAATAACCTACACCTAGGTCAACAAACTCTTTCTGTAATGGGAAAACAGCTACAAATATTACATTAAAACTTAAGCATGACTGCTTCAATAACATTTTATTTATGGGCACTGAAATTTGGATTTCATGTAATTTTCTCATGTCACAAAATACAATTCTGTTGATTTTTTTCAACTATTTAAAAACAGACACAAAAACAGGTTGTGGACAAGATTTGGCTTGCAGGAATCAGAGCTTGCTGAATCCTGTCCTATACAATGAAGAACTATCCCACCCCCAAATGCAGAGTTGCGAAGACCTGTGGAACTCTTAAACAGTATTTCTGTAAGTAATTACCAGGTTCATCCCAGCTTTTTCTGAAGATGTAGGCTAAATGTATGACAAAAAAAAAAAAAAATTATGTTCAATAGTTACTGGGAAGAGGTATGCTAAACATAATGCTATCTTAATATCTTAAAGTCTTACCCTGGAAGACTTCATTTCTCTTAAACTTTTTTTTTTATTTTTGAGACAGGGTCTCACTCTGTTGCCGAGGCTGGAGTGCAGTGGCGCTATCATGGCCCACCGCATCCTCAACCTCCCCAGGCAGGCTCTGGTGATCCTCCTACCTCAGCCTCCCAAGTAGCTGGGACTACAGGCATACAGCATTAAGCCTGGCTAATTTTTGTAATTTTTGTATAGACGGGGTTTTGCCATATTGCTCAGGCTGGTCTTGAACTTCTGGGTTCAAGTGATCTGCTCACCTCGGCCTTCCATAGGGCTGGGATTACAGCAAGAGCCACTGTACCTGGCCTTAATTAAACTCTTAAATATAAATTAATGGTAAAGTTTGGAAGCTTTATTCTCTGTCTAGTTTTAGGAGTATACATTCTCCAGGAAGAATTGCATGACGTTTGGATAGGCAGGTGAGCTTGTTGGCGTCTCCTTAAAATTTAGGAAATTAACCAGAGCTTGGACTGTTTGATAGCCATCCCACTAATGTATGAGGATAAAGCCAACAGAGCAAATGTATGTAGGCAGATTAAAATAATTTTCTAAGAAAGTTTTGAAGTCTACTCTAACACAAGGATAAAAAAGGTGGCAGAAGTCCTACAGTATTTTTTCCATATAAATAACAAGGAATTCACAGAACATAAAATTAACTATTTTAAAGTGAACAAGTCAGTGGTACTTGGTACATTTATTATATGTGCAACTACTACAATCTAGTGCCAAAACATTTCCATCACTCCAAAGTAAAACCCCTTATATGCTAAGCCATTTCTCTCCATTTTCCTCTTCCCCAGCCACTGACAAACTACCAATCTATTTTTTCTCTCTATAGACTTATTTATTCTGAATATTTCATATAAAAGGAATCATACAATATGTGACGTTTTGACTCTACCATCTTTCACTATGTTTTAGAGGTTCATGCATGTTGTAGCATGTATCAGTACCTCATTTCTTTTTTTTGAGACAGAGTCTTGCTCTGTCGCCCAGGCTGGAGTGCAGTGGCGAGATCTCAGCTCACTGCAACCTTCACCTCCCAGATTCAAATAATTCTTCTGTGTCAGCCTCCTGAATAGCTGAGATTACATACAAGCACGTGCCACCAAGCCCAGCTAATTTTTGTATTTTTAGTAGAGACACAGTTTCACCATGTTGGTCAGGCTGGTGTTGAACTCCTGACCTCGTGATCTGCCCGCCTCAGCCTCCCAAAATGCTGAGATTACAGGTGTGAGCCACTGTGCTCAGCCCTTCATTCCTTTCTATGGATGAAAAAATTCCATTGTATGTATATTATCACAATTTGTTCATCCATCCATCCACTGATGAACATTTGGGCTGTTTTTACCTTTTGACTATTGTGAACAACATTGCTACAACATGTGTATGCATGTACTTGCTCAACTTCTGGTTTTCAGTTCTTTTGGGTATATATCTAGGTATGAAATTCAAAATCCTATGGTAATGTTTAATACTTTGAGGAATAGCCAAACTGTTTTCCACAGCATTGAATCATTTTCTATTTCCACCAGCAATATACAAGAGCTCTAATTTCTCATTATATCCTTGTCAACACTTATTATTATTTTTATTTTTAATATTTTTTTGAGACAAAGTCTCAATGTCGCCCAGGCTGGAGTGCAGTGGTGCGATCTCGGCTCACTGCAACCTCTGCCTCCTGGGTTCAAGCAATTCTCTTACCTCAGCCTCCCAAGTAGCTGGGAGTACAGGCATGTGCCATCGTGCCTGGCTAATTTTTTTGTATTTTTAGTAGAGATGGGGTTTCACCGTGTTAGCCAGGATGGTCTCGATCTCCTGACTTTGTGATCCACCCACCTCGGCCTCCCAAGGCGTTGGGATTACAGGTATGAGCTATTATTATTTTTAATAGTCATCCTACTGGGTATGAAGCAGTGTTTCACTGTGGTTTTGAATTTGCATTTCCCTAATGACTAATGATGTTTAGCATCTTTTCACCATGTGTTTGATCATTCATATATCTTCTCTGTAAAAATGTCTATTCAAGTCTTTTGTCCATTTTTAAATTGGGTTATCTTTTTCTTGTTGAGTTACAAGATACAAACTCTGGATATTAGATCCTTATTGGATATATGGCTTGGATATATGGATATATACTTTCTCCCACAGTCCTAAAGTTTTATACAAGTGGTTTTTAACATTTTTCTAAAGCACAGTTCTTTTTTTCAAATATATTTTTATTTGTCCTGTATTTCCACATACAGAACTCCAACCAAATATATAAAAATGGAGCTTTTCCAAGAGAAGTGGAAAAATCTGGAACCTTGACCACTTGGCATCTTACTGTAGCAAATTATAGAACACTTTCACAATACAAAGGAAACACAAACAAAACATGTTTTCCATAGCACTGAATCAGTTTGTACAAATTTTGATTTGTACAAAACAGAGAAACAGCCTAAAAGATACAATACTACATCAAAAGCCTTGATCATTCTGATAAAATCTATTTGAAACCTGTAGGGTATGGGTACCAGGAATAACTTTTAGACAGGGTCACAATCGTGACTCACTGTAACCTCTGCCTCCCATAGCTCAAGCGGCTCCCACTTCAGCACCCCCAATCTGAGTGGCTGGGACCATAGACATGTGCCACCACACCCAGCTAACTTTTTTTTTTTTTTTTGTAGGGATGGGGTTTTGCCATTTGCCCAGGCTGGTCTCAAACTCCCAAGCTAAAGTGATTCACTCTCCCAGGCTGAGGAAAGACTATTAACATCCACTTGCCCCAAATCTCTATCAGGCCTACCAACAATGTAGAAGTACTTGGGTGTATCTATTCACCTGCCATTTAAAAATAATAAAATCTGAAAGAAGCATCTTGAATCAAACAACAAATTGTCATAAAAAGCAGCAGAAGAGGGACAGCCACAGGTTGGCTAATGGACATAAGAATGAAGCTAGATAGAAAGAGTAAGTTGTAATGCTCTACAGCACAACTATAATTAACAACAATTGACTGTATATTTTCAAATAGCTAGAAGAGCTGATTGTGAAAGTTTCCAGTATAAAATAATGTTAAATGTTTGAAGTGATGGGTATGCTAATTACCCTAATTTGATCATTATACATCATATACATGTAACAAAATGTCACACTGCGCCCCATAAATATCACACTATACCCCATAAATATGTACAATTATGTGTCAATTAAAAAACAATTTTGTTTTTTATAATCTATTGTAGTATACCACTGAAAGATTTTATCATTGTATAATTATAGTTAAGTGAGTTATCAGAAACATATGAAAAGTTTTTGAATCTTTTTTAAAAAGGCAGCAGAGATTTAAGCATTTATTTTGTGGGAGTCTACTATTCCATTAGAAATATTAATTAAGAAAAATAATGCAGGATCAACAATTTGAAAAACACAGTGAACAGTGGGGATTATTTGTACTGAGCTATCAGTACTACACATGGCCCCATCACATATCCAATGATAATGGATTAACCAGGAGAGAATGATTGGGGTTGGCTGTCATGTTTAGTAACAGAAAGGAAACTTATCTGGCCCAGAAAGTCTTTGTTGTAGCAAAGATATACAAAATTCAACTTAGTTAAGTGGTCTACACATATAGGAAAAATAATCCCCTCTATCATAAATTAGTACTCAAATAAACTTCAAGTTTGCCTAAAACAAAACCCCAACCAAATAAAAAATCAGAATTAAACAAAATTTTCAGAATTTCAACTGTGTACTATTAGTAACCATAGACATCCACAAAATGTAAAGAGCTTTCAAAGTAAACCGGTTGCTGTCAATAGTGGAAGTACTATTTGCTTATCCATTTCTCACATCATCTAATGACTATTTCTAAAAATACTTCAAATGTGGGTTAAAAACAACTTTGTGAAAATGTTTTTACCTCTTCTTCCTCAATTTCAGAGGTGTTAAGTTCATGTTTCTGACAGTAAGGACCCTCTTTCCAAGCTTCAGCATCACCACAGTCACAGAAACCTCCACCTCCTGATGTTGTCATCTTGAAAAAAAATTGTAAAGTATCTTGTCAATAAATATTTACGGGGGGGCTATCAGATAATAAATAAGAATATCAAGTGCTCAGGAAATACCATTGCTTAAGTGTTTAATTTCTTTGGAGGCATAAAATTAGATAAAATGTCAAACCTCTCAATGTTTTAAAGTCTATTTTAAATAAGACTATAAGCTAGTGATTTCAAAATAAAATAACCTACTTTGTAACGGTAGCTACAGATATTTAAAAGAGGATATGTTTGCCTACACGACTTCCTTAATTAGGAAAATCATGAGGATCACAAGGGTTTTCCTGCTGGGTTTTGGTTAAATTGGTATAATGCTGATATCTATGCTACAGGTTGTGATGCTATAAACGTAATAGACTCAGGGGTTATACAGATTCCTATAGCTGCTGTCTCCTAAAACAGTCTGAGTGCTGCATTTGCTTTGGAGAAATTAACCAACAAATACTATAGAAAGAGTTAATTTTTCTTCTCTAATACTCCCTAAATAGCCATTCTTTGAAAGGACAGGTAATAGGGGCTCAGGAAATACGAAATAGACTGCTTGATAATAAAAACTCTTCACCACCCTGCAAAGTTCAGGAATTATTCATACTTCCTTAAGACAGGGCAATGATTTGAGAAATCCGGTATCACAGAGCCAGAATTAACGACTGATAGACAAGAAATTCTGCTTTTCTTAAAATACTATGAGGAAGAGCCTAGTAACAGGTATTAGATACAGCAAATTTTAGAATGAGTCCTATTATATTCTGCCCAAAGTAAGTATTTGTGTGCTACATATCACAATATAACTAATGTAACCCCACAAATGACAACTATCCCCAGGGAAGGCAAAGATATATGCCAAGAAACGCGGGTAGGAGTCATTTGGAAAATGACATGTGCTTGTTTCAGTTATCAAACACAGGCAGAACAGCTTAAAGGAAACTGGGCCTCTTTTACTGATTTATGAGACTAATGAACAGACAAGAATATAAGTAGCCCAATTATGTGGCTGTTTTTAATTTATTTACATTTTTTATTTTGGGATGGAGTCTCACTCTGCAGCCCAGGCTGGAGTGCAGTAGGGTGACCTTGGCTCACTGCAACCTCCGCCTCCCAGGTTCAAGTGATTCTCCTGCCTCAGCCTCCCAAGCAGCTGGGATTACAGGCATGCACCACCATGCCTGGCTAATTTTAATTTTTTTTTTTAGTAGAGACAGGGTTTTATCACGTTGGTCAGGCTTGTCTCAAACTCCTGACCTTAAGTGATCCCCCACCTTGGCCTCCCAAAGTGCTAGGATTACAGGCGTGAGCCACCACACCCAGCCCTGTAACTGTTTTAGTTCATATTATGAACTCTTGGGTAGAATAAATAAAAACAAACAGGAGGAAAAGCTTTGACCCAGATGGGCTCCTGCATTAAGAATATTAAAATATTCTTTCTCTACCTTTCTATTTTATGATTAGGGTGAAAAATTCCATCTAACAACAGTTCCCTACAATGTAGGAGATGCCCTTTAATAAACATTTAAAAATAGCAAAACAAAAACAAACTAGTTGAAAAGCAATACAGAAGAGCTGATATCTCTATTACCTTTTTAAAATCGTATGCTCCAAGAAGTGTGCATTCATAATTTGTTTCTACATTGCCATCCTATGTCTCATGGTATCTAAATAAACAAACTGTTTAAACCACCCTCCCCCCATTTTAGTGTTAAATTTTTGCATTTTAAAAAGAAAGAAAATCATAAAATGCAATATTGGGCATGGTTATTATTTGGACATTACTAACCCTATATCGATGATCTCTGTGAATACTTCCCAAAAAGCACTCCATGCACAAAACACAAGTTGGATCAACTGCACAGTCTCTGTAAAGTTAAAGAAAAAAAAAAATCAGAGTGTCAGAAAATAACTATATACAACAGAAATATTTCAAATTGGAATCCACCCTAGAAGAATGATAATAGTAAAGTTTCTTGGTGTTTTAAAAAAGGAAGTATCATTCCCAAAGATCTGTCAGATCTTTGATCAATGAAAGCAGTCGAAGGACCTGCTTCTCCATATGGATGCATACTAGGAAGTCTTTCAAGGCACGTTATTAGAACAATAAATTTCAATGTAATGGTGTTTTCCCACAGATTTGTGGAAATCACATTACACGTTAAAATACATAGATGTATATGAAATAGATTCAAAATATTTATGAATTCCTAAGATTCATATTATTGGAATTTCAAACAATTTCTTCCAAACAGGCATTTGAGACCAAGGGTCTTCAAAGTGACATATATGCACCCCTAGAAAGGCAAAAAAATCAACTGCAATGCAAGATGACAATATTACAACTTACATTTCTACTTAAATTTTAACTAAAAAGGGAAATTAAACATTCTACTGGTTCACTGTACAGAATGATACAGGTCTCCTCACATAGCCCCTATTTCTGGTATTCACACAACACATATGGTCCATGAGAAATCCTGATTCAAGAGTAAGAGCCTCAAAAGGTTGCTTGGGGTGCCCTGAGTTGCTTCATTTGCTTTAATCATATTGCCAGTTAGATATATTTATAGATCATATATTAAGAGAATCTGGACAATTCCATGAAATGAAATGGGGAGTGTAAAATAAATCTATATTGGTTCCTGACACCAGGCTCCTAAAACTCTTGTAGATGAGGGTGCCAGCAGATGTGCTAAAATTAAGTCTTTAGCCTTAGTTACTGCCACAGAAATCCCTTGGGTGACAGAAGAGTCTTTTTTTTTTCTTTAATTGAGCCAGGCTGAAGTGCAGTGGCACGCTTATGGCTCACTGCAGCCTCAACCTCAACCTCCTGGGCTCAAGTGATCCTCCCACCTCAACTTCCCTGGTAGCTAGGAGTACAGGTGCGTGCTACAATGGAGGGCCAATTTCTGTATCTTTTGTAGAGATGGAGTTTTACCATGTTACCCAGGTTGGGTCTCCAATTCCTGGGCCCAAGCAATCCTCCTGTCTCCGCCTCACAAAGTGCTGGGATTACAGGCATGAGCCACTGTACCCAGCCAAGTCTTTTGTTCTGACAAGGTGAATGACGGCTGGGAGCTTCAAGACTGCTTTAGGATGGAAGCTGGTTGCCAGGGAACCCAAGCACGTGATTAAAGGGTTGAAACTTAAAGCCCCAACCCCAGCTCTGAGGATGGTGAACTGATCAGCAGTGGGCAATGATGTAATCAATCATGGTTATGTAATGAAGTCTCCACAAAAAATCAAAAGGACTGGAAGAGCTTCCAAATTTCTTTTTTGAATGGAGTCTCATTGTGTTGCCCAGGTTGGAGTGCAGTGGTGTGATCTCAGCTCATGGCCGCCTCTGCCTCCCCATTTCAAGTAATTCTCTTGCCTCAGCCTCCTGAGCAGCTGGGACTACAGGTGTGTGCCACCATGCCCAGCTAATTTTTGTATTTTTAGTAGAGACGGGGTTTCGCCATGTTGGCCAGGCTGGTCTCAAACTCCTGACCTCAGGTGATCCACCTGCTTCGGCCTCCCAAAGTGCTGGGATTACAGGCGTGAGCCACTGTGCCTGGCCTTGTTGTTGTTTTGTTTCTTGAGAAAGGGTCTAGCTCTGTCACCCAGGCTGGAATGTGGCCTGATCACAGCTCAATGCAATCTTAAGTTTCCGGGTTTGAGCAATCCTCCCACTTCAGTCTCCTGAGTAGCTGCAACTACAGGCTCAAGCCACTATACCTGGCAACTTCTTGTTTTTTTTTTTTCTTTCTTTTTTTCCCTTTTTTTGATAGAGACAGCATCTTAGTATGTTGCCCAGGCTAGTCTCAAACTTCTAGCTTCAAGTAATTACCTGCCTCAGTCTTCCAAAGTACTGGGATTATAGGAATGGGCCACCATGCCTGGCCCCTATAAAAATTCAACAAGATTTAATGAACTTCCAAGTTGCTGGAACTGCACCCAGGGACTGAGGTGCTAGGAGGGTGGTAGGCCCAGAGAGAGCATGGAAGCTCCTCACCCTTTCTCCCATACCTTGCCCTATTGTGTCTCCAATCTGGCTGTTCTTCTGTATCCTTTACAATATCCTTTATAATAAACCAGTAAATATAAGTGTTCCCCTGTGTTCTGCAAGCTGTTCTAGCAAGTTAATCCAACCCAAGGAGGAACTACTGGAGACCCCAACATATGGCTGGTCAGTCAGAAGTATAGGTGACTACTAATTGCAATTGGCGTCTAACATAGGGGGGCAGACTTGTGAGACTGAGCTGTTAGCCTTTGGATTCTGACAATAACTCCAGGTAGACAGAGTCAGAATTAAATTGTAAGATACCCAGCCAGTGTTCACAGTGGGTGAAATCCTTAGTGTAAAAAAAAACCTCACATATCTGGTGTCAGAAGCGTTGCATGAGAATGTAGAGAAAAAGTGTGTTTTTCCTAGAATAATAAAAAAAGGAAGAAAAAAATGAGTGCAAAATAAAAACATTTTCAGATGAGATCAGGACATTCAGGGTGGTATGGCCATAGATAATAAAAATATTTTCAGATAAACATAAACTGAGAGAACTAATAATTAGTAACCACAGTAAAAGTCAAGAACAATGGCCCACAGCCTCTGGTTCAACCTGCAACGTAGGAATGATTTTTTTTTTTTAGATGGAGTCAAGCTCTGTTGGCCAGGCTGGAGTACAGTGGCATGATCCTCCTGCCTCAACCTTCTGAGCAGCTGGGATTACAGGCACACGCCACCATGCCCAGCTAATTTTTTTTTTTTTTTAAGTACAGATGGGACTTCACCATGTTGGTCAGGCTGGTCTCGAATTCCTGACTTCGTGATCTGCCTGCCTTGGCCTCCCAAAGTGCTAGGATTACAGGCATGAGCCACTGCGCCTGGCCAAGAATGATTTTTACATGTTTAAACAGCTATTTTAAAAAAGAAGAAGGCTGGGCGTGGTGGCTCATGCCTGTAATCCCAGCACTTTGTGGGGCTGACGCAGGAGGATTACTTGAGTCCAGGAGTTCGAGAACCGTCCTGGCAACACAGTGAGACCCCATCTCCACAAAAAATTTAAAAATTAGGCAGGCATGGTGGCATGCACTGGTAGTCTCAGCTACTTGGGAGGCTGAGGTGAGAAGATTGTTTGAACCTGGGAGGTCATGGCTGCGGCGATTTGTGGTTATACCACTGCACTCCTGCCTGGGCAGCAGACAGGGCAAGACCCTGTCTCAAAGAAGGAAAGAAAAAAAAGTTAAAAGAAAAAGAATTTGCAACAAAGACTGCATATATATTTTCTACTTGGATTTTTACAGAAAAAGCTTACTAACCTCTAATCCAGGAAAGAATCAAGATCACTGGGCGCAAGATATGTGTGGGTTAATTTTAATGGTTATACATATTTTTCCTATCTTTTCTTAATGTCTTTAAAAGACTAACATTGCATTGTAAGGTTTATAATGTTTATTGGTGCAATATATATGACAAGAAGCACAAAGGATGAAAGGAATAAATGTAACTATAAATGCAAGGTTCGTTTATTTTACGTGAAGTACTAAAAACAGACTTTGACAAGTTAAAGATGCATATTATAATCCTGATTTGCCATTTAAAAATATGCAAGAGAATAGCTAAAAAGCCAAAAAAAAAAAAAGAATCAAAATGAAATGCTACCATTTTAATTATCCCAAAAGGAACAGAGGAACAACAACAACAAAAAAAGAGGGACAAACAGAAAACAAATAGCAAAATAGTAGACCTAAATCAACAACTAATACTTGTAGGCATGTCAGTAATTACATCCCACAACTGCAAAATATACCTTCTTTTCAAAGGCATATAGAATAAGACTAACCATGTTGCCCAACCATAAAAGAAGTTTAAAGTTTTGTTTGTTGAGACAGGGTCTGGCTGTATTGCCTAAGCTAGAGTACAATGGTACAACCTCAGCTCAATGCAACCTCCGCCTCCTGGGCTCAAGTTGTTCTCCCACATAGCTGGGAATACAGGAGTGCTCCACTATGCCCAGCAAATTTTTGTATTTTTTTGGTAGAGATGGGGTTTCGCCATATTGCCCAGGCTGGTCCTGAGCTCCTGGGCTAGAGCTATCCATCCATCTTAGCCCTCCAAAGTGCCGGGATTACAGGCGTGAAAAAGTACTTAAAACTCACACAGGGACCAAGAGATAAAATTTTGATGACATAAATTTGAGTTTCCTACCTGAATGGATTACCTCAAAGCCTTTATGGTTCTACTATTTCCTACTAGACAAAGGCAGCTAGCTACATGTCAAGTTGATATGATACCTCATGTACTTCTACACTTCATTCTGCACCAAACTGAATAAAAATAATCACAAATCTCCAAAATAAGAACATAAGACTCATTTTAGACAACTATAGAAATCTAAATTATCTAGAAGATATTTACCACTCACCACCTGTCATTTTCCCAGGTCAGAGACAGCAGTGTAGACAAGAGAAATTCCATTATATTGAAGGCCCCGTGATAACATAAAGAATTAAAATTCTACCTCTCGGTATTTACTGAAACATGTACAAGGAGATGTCCACAAACATGTACAGGGTATTCTTTGTAGCACTGTTTGCTACAGAAAGATAACCTAAAAATCTCCATTTCTAACTTCACTATTAGGTCAATCAAATAAACTATGGCCTGTCCTTACTATGAAAACCCAGTAGTTATAAAGAATGAGGTAGATTTATGTATACTGACACAAAAAGATCTCCAAAACAAACTGTTAAATGAAAAAATGTAAGCCACGATATACATAGTATAATTTCATTCATGTATGTATAATACACACAGTATAATTTCAGCATGTATCACACATGTTGGCCAGGTACAGTGGCTCATACCTGTAATCTCAGCACTTTG